AGGTGGCATTGGCTGATAGATGGCACCCGGAGGAGGCCAACCCTGTGAGATCTAATGGGTCTGTGGGAGGTAATTGCTACCACTGCTCTAGTCCCTGCTCTGACATCCCAGAGTCTTCCTCAGCCTCCAGGGCAGTCCCATAATGTTCATCACTGTCAGATTCCACCAACAGCTCAGCCGGCCGCTGCTGGGCCACAACACCCCACAACGTGCTGTTTTTCAAAAAAAAAAGTGTTTATGAATAACATTGATTTAAAAAAATAGTCACCTCTGAGTCTTTTCGAGCCAAGATGTAACGCAGTCTTAACATTTGTTCTCACCCTGCAGAGACGCGTCTACTTCCCGAAAGTCACACTTGGAGATCAAAAAAGAGAGGTATGTTTTCAGGGCTCTGGCGGGAACTCCTGTCCAAGGAAGGTGCTTAAAGATGCAGCGACGTAAAGAATTAGAAAGGGAGAAAGATGAAACGTTCTTAAAGGTGACCATGGGGGCAACCCTTCCCTCCCACCGCTACAATGGCAACAGCGACTCTTGCTGTTTGTGTATGCAAATGTTGCATTATAAATGAGCTTGTAATTGCAGTGCAGCTTTCTTAACAAACGGGAGCTGGCCTTTTATGCGGTAATGATGCTGCAATCTATATACTTGGCCATCTGCCCTCCCCCACCCGCTGTAGCCAGAATTAGTGGGTTTTAATGCAGTATAAACCCACACCACGCTGAGCTTGTTAAATAGGAGGGTCGCATGCCAAGCACTTTCTGACTTGACAGGATGCAGGTAGTCCTTGAATTATGACCACAGTGGGGACCAGGATTTCTGTTGTAAGCCATTGCAGTCCTAAATTGAGATAGATTCAATTTTACACGCGGTGAATTGGGGACGCGGTGGCGCAGTGGCTAAGACCCTGAACTTGTCGATCAGAAGGTCGGCAGTTTGGCGGTTCGAATACCTAGCGCTGCGTAATGGAGTGAGCTCCTGTTAACTTGTCCCAGCTTCTGCCAACCTAGCAGTTCAAAAGCGCGTAAAAATGCAAGTAGAAAAATAGAGACCACGTTTGGTGGGAAGGTAACAGCATTACAGCTGAACAATCTTTAGTCATGATGGCCACATGACTACGCAGACAACTTCTGCTCTTCGGCTTTGAAACGGAGATTAGCACCACCCTTTAGAGTCGGGAACAACTAGCCCATATGTGCAAGGGGAACTTTTGCCTTTACAATTTTACAGCAAGGAGGTCTAATGATGTATGCCTCTTTGCCCACATTCTTCATCCCCTCTTTTTTCCCCTTATAAAGGAGGGACTCCAAAGATTCAAGATCTTCCAGCTCTACTTCTAGTTCCTCTACTTCCTCTCCCAAGAGACTGTCGGTGGACAGGTAAGCTAATCCAGCCCTTGTGCTCACTCTACTACTAATCGTTTTACGTTGGTTCTACTGATCTAGCAAGATACAGAAGAACAAGAGTAAGAAGAGACCTGGGACCTTGCAGATCTTCTAGTTCCAACCCCCTGCTCAGGCATGAAGCCCTCTGCCATTGCAGACAAATGGCTGTCCAATCTCTTCTTTAAAAGTTCCATTGTTGGAGCATCCACCACTTCTGGAGGCAAGCTGTTCCACTGATTAACTGAGGAAATGACTCTTCTTCTACTCCTACCTTAGAGGGGATAAGATCACACATGTTGGCATGGAGAAAACCTATGCTGCTGCTTTGTTTTCGAAAGGACCTAAAATGGTGCTTTGAATTATCATGGCCTGAGCTGAAATTGTTACGATGCCCCTCTCTGTATCCACTCTAGGAGAACCTCTACCAGCTCCAACCCAGCAGCCTCCCCTCCTGGATTCCATAAAAACAAAGAGGATAGCAAAGATGAAAGGTATTGTTTGACTGTTGGTGTTCAAAGGAAAAAAACAGGATAAACTAGCTACATGGAGACTGTTAGCCATAAGGCATAAGAATGGAGAGCAGGACCAAAAAATGAAGTGGCTCCAGGGGTGGTGTTCACTTACCTTTTCTACTGGTTCGCAAATGTGGGCGTCCCGTGCTCAGCCTTCTGCGCATGCGCTTTGGCTTCAAAACGTGCCTAATGGGATGGCATAGAGCCGGGGCGGGTAGGCAGGCCCACCCGCAATTCCCACTACTGGTTCGGGCGAACCAGTCCGAACCGGCAGAAGACCACTTCTGAGTGCCTCCAATTGGCATTGTTTAACAGATCAATCAAAGGAGTGTGCAGACAACATTCCTCTTCAGTTGCTTCTACAAGAGCCGCTGTTTGCTGTTACAGTGCTTTAGAACTGGATGCTTCCTATATCACTGTAAAACAAATAGTTGTTAATAGACATCGTCCCTGTGTTTTTATCTGAAACTTCTTCAAAGCTATCTAAGCTATCAATTTAACTGCAGCTTCTTAGGGTGGACAGAAAAAGGCTACACATGCAGCTTGCATAAGGGATAGTCCATTTGGCTACAACTTCCACTATCCCAGTCATAGATCATGAGAATTGTAGGCTAAGCTATTTGCAGGGTATGAGGTGCCCAATTCTGATAAAGATTTATGTTTGAAAAAAATACCAATTCTTAAATGGGAATGTGAAATGTCTCATTATGTGAACGAGTAATATGCGTGCCTATTCAGTTTGATGGGCAGTTTTTTATATTGGATAAATTCCTTAAAGACCCCTGGCTTTAGGTGATTTTTCCCATAGGCCAAAATATGAACTGGCAGCTTTTTAAACAGAGCACATGTTCAAATAGAGGACTGTCCTTCTGTAAAAGGACATAACCTTGTGGTTGTTGGCATGTGACTTCTTGTGTAGCCTTCATTTTTCTTATGAATTCTGCACAGGTTTCCACAGTATTTTCTAATGTGTGTGAGAGACCAAAAAAAAAAGAGCTTTCATATCATATCGTATTGGCTTTGAATTAAGTTGCCTGCATTCATGCAAAGCTTGTAATCCAGAGATTTGTTTAACCCAGCAGTGTCAAACTTGATTTCATTGAGGGCTATGTCAGGGTTGTGTTAAATCTTTGGGGGGGGCATGGGGGGGCATGGCTAGCTCAACATCACTCATGTCGGGGTGCCTGTGGTGGCCTGAGCACTCTGCCAGCAAAAACGGGCTCCTGAGCTCCGTTTTCACTGGCAGAGGCACTGTGGGCCAGTCCTTCACTGTTTCCCAGACGGCCCCTTAGGCCAGATCTTAGCACCCCTGGGCCTTGAGTTTGATACCTCCGGTTTAACCCTTTTTCTGGGTTTAACAGTGCAATCTGGCTGGATTTGTAGGCTAAGTACCAACACTTGTACTTAAACGCATGTTAACCAATCTCATAAAGTTCTACAAGCACATCTCTTAAATATTTTCTTAACTGGTTGAGCTAACTTGTATGAACATGCCGATTAATCATATCAGCCCTGGCTTAAAATGTAAGTAGCACACTCCAGATTAGAAGGTGGGACAGGCCTTGCCATTAAACAAGGGCTCCAGCTTGCTCAACCTGAGCTTCAAGAAAAGAAAGCAAACAATTAGCTTTCTGATGTCTTTCTATTGGATTTTTGCAGCTAGGGAAGGAAGAGGTTGTTTTGGCTTGGATAGCAAAATAATTTGATTGCTCTTGACTTCAGTGATCCCAAGTGGGTTAGAGGCTATATTGAAATGGTTGTAAATTAGCATTTTTTTTTCCATTTAAAACAAAAATCTCACTTGTTGTCCTGCTCAGATCAAATGACAAATCTCGAAGTGAGGTGCCCAAGATGCCAGCCAGCCCTATCACGCCAACATTTGGAACTTCTGTCTGCTTCTTGCCCTCATCCTATTTGACTGGAGACTCCATTAGGGACAAGTGTATTGAGATGGTCTCTGCAGCCCTGAAAATGGATGGTGAGAAAGAAAACGTCCTGGGGGAATTGAGAAATTAATTTAGGAGGAGAGACAAGGGGATCTAAAGAGTTTACAGTCTGACCTTGAGCTCTGGTTCCGATGTTTTTATCTCCAGCTTCCACTCTTCTGGGAGTTACCTGTATGGCAAAATTCAGGAGAGGAGAAGCGATCAAACAGTGATTTCTGAAGTGCATGAGTATTGATTAGATTACATAACTACAAAAGCATTTCCACAGTTATTGATATAGAGATAGCAATAGCCCTTAGATTTATATACCGCTTTACAGTGCTTTACAGCACTCTCTAAGCAGTTTACAGAGTCAGCATATTGCTCCAAACAATCTGGGTCTTCCTTTTACTGACCTCGGATCGAACTCCTGGCAGAAAGCAGAGTCCGTGACCCAACAAATGCACGCACGACAAAAGCGCACCGACAAAACCGCGGCGAGAAAAGAGCAACATTGAAAACGCGCCCACAAAACCGCGCCCACAAAACCGCGCCCACAAAACCGCGATTAGGGTTAAGGTAAGGGTTAGGGTTAGGTTCAGGGTTAGGGTTAGGGTTATTACCTTGTTTTCGCGTTTTGTTGAAGGCGCACTTTTGTCGGTGCGCTGTTGTCAGCGCGCTGTTGTGGGTGCGATTTTGACATCACTCTTTTCTCGCCACGGTTTTGTCGGTGCGGTTTTGTCGTGCGCGCATTTGTCGGTGAACCAGCAGAATCAGCCTGCAAAGCTGTATTCTAACCACTATGCCACCATGGCACAAAAATGATATTGCTATAGAGATGATTGATAATGCCAATAGGATCAATTTTACTTACCACACCAAGCAGCAGCGGAAAACGTCTGTAAAAACAGTCTGTAAAATAAGATAAAATGAAGAGCTACCATAAGTTAAAAAGTGATTGCAAATGAGAGGCATTTGCAGGGAGAGCCAAGGAGGCAAATGATGAAAAGAGCTAATTCACGATGCAAATTCTGCCCTTTTGGGGGGTGGGGTTGTCACAACATCAAATGTTGGGTATGGAAGGGACAGAGCTTATGGCATGTTGCTCATCACTTTGATGAAAGCATCAGAACCTGCAAATGCTCCTGGTTCAAATAAATGTAGTGGAAACAACAATTCACAGTTAAAAAATTAACATTCAGAAGTAAGCAATTATTTTCTGCTGCTACTATTGCGTTATTGGTATTAATAGGCATTCTATAAGGAAATCATAGAAGGGACACAGTGGCTTAGTAGCTAAGATGGTGAGCTTGTAGATCAGAAGGTCAGCAGTTCGATGGTTCGGACCCCTAGTGCCACATAATAGGGTGAGCTCCCGTAACTTGTCCGAGTTTCTGCCAGTTTGAAAGCATGTTAAAAATGCTAGTAGAAAAATAGGAGCCACCATTGTGAAGGTAACAGCCTTCCATGCGCCTTCGGTGTTTAGTCATGCCGGCCACATGACCACAGAGACATCTTCAGACACCACTGGCTCTTTGGCTTTGAAACGGAGATGAGCACCCCCCTAGAGTCAGGAACGATTAGCACATATGTGCGAGGGGAACCTTTACATTATAATTTTTTTATTGTTGCTCTTACACTAGTTAATTATGTTATGCATCTATTTTTTAAACCCAGAGGTGTTCAACCTTAGCATCTTAAGACGTGTAGACTTCAGCTCCCTTGCTGGCTGGGGAATTCTGGGAGTTGAAGTCCATGTGTCTTAAAGTTGCCAAGGCTGGACACCCCTGATCTAAGTATAGAAGTTCAGGTGTTTCGGTTGGACACAAAACTGAATTTTATCTGGTTGTGCTCAATGATTTCCCCCCCCCTTAACGTCCCTGTTTTCATGTCTTTCTCCTCTTCATCTCCATTCAAGATGATTACAAAGAATTTGCGGTCAACTGTGATAAGATGGCAGCCGAGATTGAAGATTATATCTTTTTGATATTTGGGTCTGCTGGTTATTAGTGCGAGTGGAAAAATGAAGTTATAACTGCCGAAACATCTTAGGGAGATATTTACATGGGCGAGATTCGAACAGCTTGACACAATGGTCAGATATGGGAGATTCCATTCTATACCCTACAATGGACATCTCAGTATTTGCGGAGTGGCAGAGGTAGAAGATCTGGCTCACATCCTATTTGATTGTTGCCTGTATAAGGGGTGTAAGAGACAGGTATCTCGGTCTATATATCAAATGAATGACCCATTGGGATCCCTATATCAAAGCAACTTGCCTTATGTGTGGCCAGAAAATAATATTTAACACAGCACAGTACTTAAGCAAAATGGTTCTGTTGAGATTGGCATATGTGGGACTGATTGTGTTAGATTGTAGGGGTGACACCAAAATATAATTTTATCATATTTTATCTATATCTTAAATTATTGTATTTTATTCCAGTTCCACTTTAAATCGTATTTTATTCCAATTCCATTTTAAATTGTATTTTATCCAATTCCATTTTAAATTGCTTTTATCAAATTTTAGTAATAATTTGTTTCTAGAACTCTGCACTTTGATTTGGCCAAGGGCTAATCAATAATAATAAAAGAGATCACATGGGATGGGGAATGCATCAGAGTGGGAAAGGTTTATGCTAATATTGGACAGGTGTTGCCTTGATGGGTAAAAACAAAAACTCCAGTCATTTAAATTGTATACATTCAGGAGATGCTTTCTTGAACTTTTTTTTCTAAAAGGTTAGGAGGCTAAAAAGAAGGGGTTCAAATTTTGTATGGGAACTACAGTAATTGCCTACTGCTGCTTCGGACAGAAAGGGTGCTCTTCTGGGAATATATTAGGCATTGTTAAAAATGAGAGCAATGAGAAATATAAAAGGCTATAACTATCTTTTAAGACTAATGGCAATTCTCAGTCTCTGCTGTAGGCAGGGTGGTACTGTCTGTATGGGAGAGGGAGGAATTGGCAAGATCCTGGGTTTGCAGGAATACAAAAAATAAAAATCAGTGTCTTCAGGGATTGGGAAAAGCCTTTAGAGCAGAAAAGTGGAATGAGAAAGAAACAACCTTGTTGTGGCCAGCAGACCGGGCAACAGATTCGGACATTGAGGAGGTTGGGGAGGAAGATGGGCCAGTCCTGGAGTCTGGGGAAGGCTCTGATGTGGGCTCTGTGTGGAAGGCAGAGAGGGGCCCAGATCCGTCTGGCAGTTATCAGCTGTCTTCAGAGTCAGACATCAGTGAGGCAGATGAACAGCTGAAGCCTGTTCCCAGTGTGTGCATGCACAGAGTTGCCAGACGAAGGGAACAGCTAAAGGACAGGGGTTGACTTGGGAGTAAGGCCACAGGTGGCCCCTCCCAGAGGAAATAAAAGAGGAGCGAAAGGGGAGTAGAGTTTGCAGGAGACAATTAGTTCGCTTCTTAGTGTGAAGATTTGGACATTTTCCACACATTTAATTTTTATCTCACCTTTATTACTACTACTATTAGTACTTCAGTAACACAAGAGACTATACTTAATACTTCTTTCTCTCCACAATAACAACCCTGTGAGGTGGGTTGGGATGAAAGAGGAGCACTGGCCCAAACTCACTCGGCTGACTTTCATGCCTAAAGTGGGACTATAACTCACCATCTCCTGGTGATTGGACCAAAGTTATGCCTAAAGTTAGACTAGAACTCACATTCTCCTGGTTTCTTGCCTGGGGGTTTTCACAGGTGGTATTCAGCCAGTTCTGAACAGTTCTAGTGAACCGGTAGTGGAAATTTTGAGTAGTTTGGAGAACCGACAAATACCACTTCTGGCTGGCCCCGCCCCTGATCTATTCGCTGCCTCCTGAGTGCCAGTTGATTGGCTGGGGTCTTCTTCTGTTGCCCTGCACAGGAGAACGGAGCTGCAAAGCAGGTTAGTGGGATGGGGAAGGAATGGGGATTTTCCAGTATCCTTCCCCTGCCATGCCCACCAAGCCATGCCCACAGAACCGGTAGTAAAAAAAATTGAAGCTCACC